GGGGGGGGGGGGGGCCCCCTGCTCCCACATCCATCACAAGCCAAGACTGAGCTGGGCTGCTGGCCAGCCTGCTAAAAAATGCATGGGCAAGGTGGGGGGCGTGGAGGAAATGCATGTAGTCTATAAGCTTCTGCTTACTGGTTAATCAACTACACTATTACATCCATAATCCTAGGGGAACCTGCCAAGATTTCAGGCCATGCCCATTTCTGTATCTGAACCCTCCAACCCAGTTTTGACTAGAGTCCATTAGGAGCAATGTTCATTGCCATCTCCACACCAGGGGGCAGACAGAATTGCTGAGCCCCAGGGCAAGCAGGTGGGCTGGCTCTGCACCCCTGGAAGGGGCGTGGCCTGAGGTGGAATGGGCGTGGCTGAGGGGAGCCAGCACAGAGCACCACTCAGACCACACCATGCCTCCCCCAGCCAGCCATCAGCGCTGCCCAGTAGTGGTTTAAAGGGCCCTGGGCTCCAACTGCCACTGAATTGCCAGGCCTGGGGCACTTGCCTCCTTTGCCCCTCCCCCCTCTGCAGGCCTGCTCACTACCAATTTTATCCGAGAAGGAAGGAGATTCGGATGGGCTGACTCCACCTGCAGGGCCAGAGTTTGCTGGAGCATCTGCTGCCACCTTGCCCGAAGGATCCCCCGGGACTCACTATAGAGAGGCTCTGTCAGGACGAGCGGGATGGGCTCTGCCCGAGCACAGAGAACTGGGGCTTTCCAGTGATCCAATCCAGAACATTAGCCGCCAACACCTCTCACTCTCCTGGCAGAGGTCAGAACTGCTGCATTACCCTTCCTGAAGAAAAGCACGTCCAATGGCCTGAGACAAAGGTTCTCTGTCCAGACTCTTACACTACAGCAACAGTTCACAGCAAAAGATGCAACCTCCCCAGAAAACAGGAACTTCACAGCTTAACAGACACTTCTGCTTTCAGGGCCAAGGGACTTTTTCAAGCTGTTTTGTTGACATTTGTTGCAGATTGTCATGAGGTATTCTGTGTTACAGTGCCTGGTCTCCATGCAATAGTTTGGCTGGGAACCATCCAAAGTGGGTTGAAACATCGGAAACCGAGTCACTGAGCTGAGGGGTGAGTTTTCCCATAACAGAGCAGATGTGGATGCATCTTCATCCCGAGCCATGGATGCACACTTGTCATATCCTCTTGCTGCTATCCCTTGTTGCTTAGTTGGCAACCAGTGTCATCCTGCCTGCCTGCCTCTGTACTTCTCTGGAGCCATCCTGACCAAATGTCACCTCCTACCCTATTGAAATGCTGGGATGCACAGTGATTCTGCATTTTGATAAATGTTTACACACCACTGTCCTACTCCTGACAACTGACCAGTTCTGCCTCGTTCCTCACCCTGGTGCTATACTGTGATTCAGGACTTCATTGCCCTCTGGGAAGAAGGGCAGGATCAGAAATACCTAAATGGCACTTAGCTCAGGGGTGCAAGGAACTATCAAAACCAAATGGGGATTCGATTTTATAGCTGATGCTTTTGAAATTGCGGGAGGAACTGAGGGAGCTCTTGACAAGAGAAACATGCAACAACAACGTTAAATTACAAGCATTAAAAAAAGGAATGTGAGAAGCATGATCTCCAGCTCATTTTCTTGTAAATATTCTCACTACTCGTTACTAGGGTCAAACTACCTGCTGAAGGAGTTGGCTATGACACGGGCATGCAGCAATGATCCCTCCGTAATGCCAACCAAAATAAACTTCAGAGCTATGGGTGAAGCATTCAAGAAATACATGCATCTGACGAAGTGGGTCTTTGCCCACAAAAGCTTATGCTTCAATAAATCTGTTAGTCTGTAAGGTGCCACAGAACTCCTCGTTGTTCTTGCAGATTCAGACTAACACGGCTACCCCCGATACAAGAAATATATGTTTGCTCATGATGTTTTAAAGCAAGTCATACCTGTGAACTGGTGAAAGTCCCCCTTAAGCACTTGGATTCAGAGACTGTTAAAGCGATAATCTCACTTAACAGCAGTAGCTTCTTCTGCCGGTGTAGAAAGAATATTTTCTTCCTTTGCATTAATTCACTCCAAATTGAGAAATTGTTTGAGACCCAAAAAAGCAAGAAAACTTGTTTTTCTTTTCCAGATTATGAACAAACAGAAAAATGAAGGTGAAGACGACTGAGTTAACCTCAGAAACCAATATTTTAAGTTTCTCATGTTGACTTGAGTTGATTTGTTTTTTTTAATATTTAACCAATTGTAATTAAAAACAATTAACAAAACAAACCTGATTTTAAAAAACTTGAATGTTTAACTAACAATTCATATGCTTGTTTTGTTATATAATTACATGTTAGTTGTTGAAGAAAAAAATCCAGAACACATATCCATTGTTGCAGTAGTTAATAAAGCAATTTAAAGGTCTATCTGGTGACATTCTCCTAATACAGCATGACAAGAAAACCCTCCAAATACTAATGGATTAACCGGTTACACTGGAGAAAGTTCACCTCCCAGTGACTTCATAAATAGGTTTCAGTTACTTCTGGCAAACCAAATAATCATCCATTTTCTGATATAATTGTAGAACTCATCTGAAAAGTTTTCAAAATAAATCACCATTTAAAAATATATAGTGTGTACCTTCTAAAAATGAAACCCACATCTACCTCAGAGCTGCGAAGGTTGCAACAACCACCAAGAATGCACTTTTATGTAGAAAACCATGATGGAATCAAGTCTTCCTGACTAGTGACTTAAATCAGTTTAATTTATATCAAATCCACTCTTGACCCCAGGCAGGCCATGGTGCAATTCTGCCTCCAAGGCACCCTGGATACAGCCTTTAGATCCCAATATTGTTGTAACACGGGATTGTCCATAGTGGCATAGCCCAGCACACTAGTATCAGATAAAAGAGCAGAGTGGACTTTCCTGGGGAGCTAGTTCTCTCCAAACAGGACTCCGAGAACCTTTGGACTCTGGGCACAGACAGAAGGGTCCTCCCAGGAAAGCGCATGCAGTTGTGGGAAGAACAGAGACAGGACACGAGGCTCCAACACCAACTTGATGAGTAACTTCACATGAACCTACGTTATCACCATGTTCTTATAAACCCTGGTTTAAGACAGCTCAGTGTCTAGGGGCTGGGAGGTAAAAATCAATGGCATCAAGACAGTAGGAAACTGAAGCTCTCCGAAACTGAAGCATTCAGATGGAAAGTAAAGTTCCGCTCCTTGGTTTCGGTATCAAACATCAGTATTATATGGCCCAGCTGGGGCCGAACCACAGGAAAGGCTGTAATAAGCAATCAAAGCAGCCCCAGATTGGCTTATAAATAGCAATGCCTTTTGATGCCTATCAGCTGATCCTCCTAAGAGAAATCCTACTCCTTTAGACTCTCCTGCAGAGGACTGAGAGGGAATGTTTCTCTGAGTTAATACAGAATATGTACTTAGTCAGTGGAAGCCAAGTCCAATCTTGCAAAAGATAAGGTACCTTACCCACCAATGGACAATCATGATAGCTCTCTCAGGATGGGAGGCGGGAATGATTATTAGTTTAGCTGTTGGGGACATTAAGTTGGACGGTGCACAAAACACAGAAGTCTGTCAACAGTGAAGGCTAGAGTGTATATTTGCTCTTAGCCCCTAACACAAATCAGTGCTGATCCAGGAGCAGCCCTGAGAAACAACTGTAAAGGAACAGGTGAGGTCAGAGGGGAACAAATGAAAAACTTCTGTAGATTTGTTTCTTGCTTAGTCATAAGGTGAGCATCTTTTTGAAGCAAGTGTCAGGGGTTACGGATATGGTTATTTATTAGGTTCATGTATTAATGGAAAAGTAATAATACATAAAACATAGTAAGTACTACCTTTTGAGACTTCTCCTTTAGATGTCTCGAAGTTTATTATAGACAGGATGGCATTTTCCTGCAAAACAGAATATCTCAGTGAAAAATTATGCATTACAATCCAGAAGCATTTCCACCCCCTTTGACTTAACTTCCCTCGATAACTGCAAGCATGGAAGGGAGAGAATATTTCTGTAGCTTTTTTGCAATTATGTGTTAGTTTTTAGTTACTTGGGAGGCACTCCCATACGACCAACGTGACTACCACATATTAAGTAAAACAAAGATTTCAATTCCATTTTAATTCCATTGTAATTTTTTTCTAGTTAAAAATAATTGTCTTAAATTTCGTTTCTTCATTTCCAGGCAAGGAAATGCCTATGACTTTCTAATGGACACAAACTGCACACTCCCTGAGAAGGAAGGAAGGCACATATCTTCAGCCCAGTATTCAAATCGGGTGCCTCCCCAACTAGTAGTGGAATAGGAAGTTGAGGTCCAGACGGCCCTGCCTTAAGGGGGAGAAGAAACCGTCCCAAGAGAAGACTCATGGTGCTCATAATAATGGCGATAAGAGTTTCACCCTTCATGATCACACAGCGCACAAGGTACATACATAATGGGTCTGGATGCTCGCCCAGTGAATCACAAGCCACTCTGCTGGGAGTCCCTGCACACAGCCATTGCAATGCACCTTCCAAAAAGCCAGGGATATGGGGCCATTATCATTCCCTCGGGCACTCACACCTGCTGTGGCTGTGATACAGCAGCACAGAATGCTGTCCTGGAGAGACACAAACAGCAAGGGAAGATGAAGCAAAATGCAGGACAATGTAGCAAGGGAAGAGGCGAGGGAAACACCGGAAGGGGCAGCTGGGAAGAAAAGCTGTTGGAAAAGGAGAAGAATCTCAGTGGTGAGCTAGCGGATGATGGGAGCCTGCGTAGGAGGTGAGGTGAGAAAAGAACAACAGAAGAATAAAAGTAGGTGACTAGAAGTGAGATAGGGAAGGTTTCAGGTCAGGAGAAGCAAGCACTGTTAGAGAAGGGAAATAGAGGGAAATAACAGAAAGGAAATATCATTGGTGAAAGAGAGAATTGATCAGAAAGCTGAATTACGTGAAAACAGATCCCGAAACAGTAACTAGGAAGGCCACCCGCAAAGGATGTCGAGCAAGAGAGCAGAGCGAAGAGCTGTCAGGACGTCTTTTGCAGGACTGCAGTCCAAAGGTGCTAATGGGCAAGTGAGGGCCCCCAAGGTGAAGAAACCCCACTTCTGGATAGACTCAGTGAAGAAAGCTCTGGCCACAGAACATCGAATCCAAGGAGCATGTCCAGCAGAAGAAAGGCAAAGGCCAGGACAGCAAGAGCGGAGCTGGGCTTAGAGTCAAGCACAGGAAGAGTTTCTCCTCTGAAGTGAGAGTCTATTCATTGTAATCCCTTTTGTTCTCGCTGACAATTCACTTGGTACTAACTGCACAGCATGTTCAAGCTGACAAAGGTTAATGAGTTGGTAATCTACAGTGCATTACTGTAAGCAGAAAGTCCTTAGTAATGCTCCTGGTACAATCTGTGGATTTTTAACAGCTTCAAATTATCCCATTAGTTATGGTTACCTCTGCCTCTCCTTGCAGTGAGCATAGCCTCGCCAAATTGGATCACCCCACACACACCCATACCCCTATCAGTTACACAAAGTGCACTTGAGGGAAAACAAAGTGGGGAGAATGTAACACCATCCTAACAGGCTCCTGTAAGGCACTGGTGGAGGAGTTGTTCAAATTCCTCCCTCAGAAGTGGACTAGAAATGGAAAAGTTTCACTGCCTCCTAGCTACGGTACAACAGTACAGCAAAGTATGTGATCTAGAAAATGTGACTAACTGACCCAGCTCTAGAAACTCACTTGTTCACCCTGCCTTCTCCTCAGAACATTACATAAATTTTCTACTTTTCTCTGTGAAAGTTACATTGCTGTAAACTAGCAGTGATTTACAAACCCCTTGAATGAGACTATTGGACTAGTGCCTGAACAAGTTGGTTTTCAGATAGTGCCTTAGCTTTATGCAAATCTCCTTACTCCTCTCCATGAATACCCTGAAAGCTACCCGAACGAAGAGAAAGACTAGTAACTAAGCAGACTCTCCATTCAAATCAGAGTGCCCAAAGAGCACCCTCATACCTTGGACTTTGCACACTTCAATATAACCAAGCAAACAGGCCATATAGTAGTCGATCAGGAAGCCCCACCAACTCAAAGCACCCAACATGCATCCATGAACACCTGGACCACTAGAAAAGCTGGCAAAAACCCTAGCCCGAGCCCGAGATGTTAGCCACAAGCTGCTCCAATCCATCCCGTGTTGGGGAGCTTTTGGCCAGGCTTCCTAAGCGACCTACTTCTTGACCTGTTGCCTCAGATACTTCGCTAAATAAACAGACGGACTCAGGCCAACGACAGCATAGGCCGTAGGGCAGGGGTGGCCAACTCGTTACAGGCAAAGAGCCAAAATAGTTGTGCATATAGCACAGAGGAGCTCCCCAGCACCCAGTGAGCTCGGGAAAACCCAGGGCTGTTTCTAGGGGCACAGCGGTGGCTTCATGAGCCAAGGAGGAGGCTTCACAAGCTGCACTTTAGAGGGGGGGGGGAGAGAAGAGACGCATGCAGTTCACGAGCTGCAGGTTGGCCACAGCTGCTGTAGGGAATCCACTGACACCTTGACAAACCTGTGAAGCCAACTTATGCCACTGCCAGACTCATCTCCTGCAGTGGGTTGGTGCAGCATGCACACGCTGGGAACTCCTCCAGAGAGGCAGTAGCAGGGGGCCTCCCAGAGGGCCTCCCACACAAGAGTCGGTAACCAGCCACACACATAAAACAAGCAACTTCCCAAGAGGGATAGGAAGAGGAAGCATTTTTCACCCATCGTAATGCTGTGGGAACGGGGAGAGGGAGGGAAAGGAAGAGACAAATATGCCCCTATAATAAGATTCTTCAACCACCACAGGAGTATGCATCGTGCCACCAAAGGGACAAGAAGACTGCAAAAGCCAATCATGCCTGTACAGCAGCTGTGAGATGGCCTACATGCCGCTTCTCTTAAACCCACGCTGACAACATGGAATTGATCAAACCTGTCAAAACAGGGTACCCCACGGGATCTGGAAGACTGTAAACAACAATCACCTGCATCAGTCCAGTCTTTTCAATTTTGAAATCCCACCCAAACGAAATGGAAGAGAAGTTACCTTATTAGCATGACAAGTTCTACAGACAGTGCTGCCCAGATACTACATATAAGAGCACCCAGACTGGGTCAGACCAAAGGACCATCTAGCCTAGTGTCCTGTCTCCCAACAGTGGCCAGTGCCAGATGTCCCAGAGGGAATGAGCAGAATAGATAATCATCCAGTGATCCACCCTGTCACCCATTCCCATCTTCTGACAGAGCCTGGGAACACCCTCCCTGCCTATCCTGGCTAATAGCCATTGATGGACCCAACCTCCATGAATCAATCTAGCTCTTTTTGTGACCCATGTTTTGCCTAGCACTGAAGTTAGGCTTACCAGCCTATAATTTCTAGAATTCCCTCTGGAGCCTTTGTAAAAACTGGGGTCACATTAGCTACCTTCAAGTCATATGATAGAGAAGCTGATTAAAGCAATACATTAAATACCACCATTAGTAGTTCCACAATTTTATATTTAAATTCCTTCAGAACTCTTGGGTGAATGCCATTTGATCCTGCTAAGTTACTACTGTTTAATTTTCCAACGTGTTCCAAACCATCTGCTAATTAGGAATGTAAAATCCCATTTAATTAGATAACTGGTTAAACATGTTTGACTGATTAACCAACTAAAGGGTGCACAGGCAGAGAGCGCCCTGCTCCCCTGGCCACACTCAGGGGCTGCTCAAGTTTGGCCCAGTCCATGGAGGGCCCGGGCACATCGCAGACAACCCTTGTCCACAATATGCTCCCTTCAGTTAACTGGAACCAGTAAGCGTTACCCATTAAGAGTGATGCTTACCAGTTAATTTTTCATATCCCCACCTCTAAGGACACCTCAGTCCGGGACAGTTCCTCAGATTTGTCACCCAAAAAGAATGGCTCATATTGGGGAATCTTGCTCACATCCTCAGCCATGAAGGCTGATGCTAAGAAGTCATTTAGTTTCTCACAATGGCCTTATTCCCCTTAAGTGTTCCTTTAGCACAGGGTTTCCCAACCTATGGGTCGGGACCCAAATATGGGTCACCAGGTGTCTCTTAAGGAGCCATTCACACATTTTTTCAATTGCCCTGGGTCACCAAGTCGTCCTGAATTGTCAAAATGGGTCCCCATCTGGAAAAGGTTGGGAACCGCTGCTTTAGCATCTTGATCATCCAGTGACCCCAGGGGCCAGTTAGCAAGCTGCCTGCTTGTGTTGTACTTAAAAACTCCAGGGAAAAAAACCCACACACTTTTCTGGCTTTCCTACTTATATTTTTATACTTCACTTGTCAGAGCTTATGCTCCTTTCTATTTTCCACTTTTGAATTTAACTTCCACTTTTGAAATGGTGCCTTTTGGTCTCTCACTGCTTCTCCTTTACGATGTAGCTATGGGTGGCACTTTTTTGGTTCTCTTACGATGTTTTTTAATGGGGTACATATTTAAGATTAGTCTCTATTATGGCATCTTTTAAAAGTTTCCATGAAGTTTGTAAGGATAACACTTTTGGCACTGAACCTTTTAATTTCTGCTTAACCGATTTCCTCATTTTGAGAAATTCCCTTTCTAAAATTAAATGCTATGGTGGTGGGCAGTTTTGGTGTTTTCCCCCTCAGCCAGGATGCTAAATTTTATTATGTTGTTACCAAGCATTTCAGATATACTTACCTTTTGGACCAGATCCTGTACTCCACATAGGGCTAGATCAAGAATTCTCTCCCCCCTTGTGGGTTCCAGGACTAGCTGCTCATAAAAATCAGTCTCTGCCTCCCATACCAAGGTGACATGTACCAAGCCAATTATGGAGAGTTTCTTTTTTATTTTTATAACCTCTCTAATCTCTGAGCACTTCATGGAGACTATTATCATAAACAT